TTTATGCAGCGCCTCTCGACGCGCGAACTTTGGAGATAGGAGAAGAAGAAGAAGATGAGGAGAAGGAGAAGGAGAGAACAGGGGAGAGGTAGACGAGGGTGATCAGAGGAAGTGATCTATGTCGGGATTGAGAGGGGGCGGAATAGTTGGAAGAAAAGCGGCCATTGCCGCGGGAGTCGCCGGCGCTCCCTCCTCATGGAAGTGATGCTGGACAAACGAGGGGTAGAGGAAGGCTCCCGGCACATGGGATAGGACACGTGGCGCCAGATCCGCCACTGCTCGCACCACCCGCTTGCGCACCGATCGAAGCCCCGGGCCGTCATCACCACATGAATCTCAGTGTAAGGCCGCCGCTCCCGCTTCTGCGCCGCGAAGACCAGGAAGTGGTACATCGCATTGGGACGTTGTACGGTCTCGTAGATGAGCGTCCCAGCCAATCGCGCCGCAATACACCCTTGAAAAGGGGGTGTCAGATATGGCTCCCACGACAGATCAGGGTGCGGTGCCCCCGCGATGGCCTCGAGCCTGATGGTGGCGGGCTCCACCATGAAGTCCACCTCGGTCGGATGGACCGTCCGACTCGGATGAACTACTAATGTCAATGACCGGGGCACCCCGCGGTGGCTGGCGGGAACGTAGAGGTCCCACGAGGACGGGGGGTCAGGATATGGGATCCGGTAATCCCATTCGGCTTCCTCCTCCGGCTGCTGCTGCTGATGATGGCCCGGCTCCATCAAGGTTGAGATCGGGCACACGCGGAACGGGCGGCGATGGCACGACAGCCTCCTTAACAAGCGTCGCCGCACTCCCAGGCACGGCGTCCGGATTCCGCGGATGTGCGGACTGAATCACCTCCTCGTCGCCGCCGATCCTGCTGCCTTGCGCCCCTGGCGATGGGTGGCGTCTCTTCCTCTTCGGCGTCTTCTTGGGGGCCTTCGGTGTCGGTCGGGGATACGACGAGGGAGGCCGCAACGGCCTTTCCTCCGGGAAGTCCTCCAATCTCTCCGCGCGCTGCTCAATGTAATCCGGGATGATGACCGCGTTGTACGTTCTCCGTGGGGTCGTCGCCGTCCGCAATCGCGGTTGGATCTCCTCCTCCTCGCTCGCGATCATCTGCGCAATGAACAGCCATTTCGTCAAAACGGACATATTATATTTTTTGAACGAAATCAAAACTTACTTTTTTTGCCGAAATTCCGTCAAAATTTTTTGCTCCTGGGGGTCCGGCGTTCCCAAAACGCCGGACCCCCTACATGTATCTGGTCTATGGTTGAGACCAGATACAAAAAAAAAAAAAAAA